CGGAGGATGCTACCGTTCTTGATGTCCAGTCGATTCTAGAATGGGGGGGGGGGGGTGAAACGGGGGCAAATAGGACATGGGCATCAGTCTGGAGCAGACACAGCTGACCAATCTGCAACGGCATCGAATCCACATTTGGGGAAGTGTAGTAAGATGGTGAAAGAGCGGGGGTCAGCTTTGGTTAGCGCTAAAAATAGAGAGACAGGCCCCCACTGGTAGAAGTAAGAGGCCTGACTCACAGTGACAAAGCAGCACGGAGAGTAGAGCTGTGGGAAGAATCAGGGCCTGAAGGGGAGGATGGGAGGGAGCGGGTGGTGAGGAGAGAGGGGAGCGTGTATCTGCTGGCCCTGGGAGCCTGCAGGAATCTCCCAGCCTGCCAGCACGGCTCCTCTCTCACCCACATAAATACACACCTGGCTCTCAGCCCTTCTGGGGACTCTCCTTTGACTTCAGAATGATAAAATTAGGGTGACACCAGGGACAACGTTAGACCAGGGTCAGTTGTTGAACAGATTTTTAACACTTAAAAATAAAAGAAAACAGCACTTTGGGCTTTAAAAGTGACAGGGAGTTCTTGTCTATGTCCGAAATTCACATCTTTGATCTGACATTTTTGTTTAAATGTTTTAAAAGTCTGTTCAACAACTGACGCCCATCAACACTTGTCACCTATATGCCAAACCCTAGCTTGGTCATTTTTAAAAGCACTTTAAAGCCATTTGTTTTGTGTGGACAAACTGTATCTGTGCTCTCAGCATTCGTCCATCTGAACTTCTCACACACATCTATAACAGACAAATCTTTGTTTGGCAGAAAGCTGTAGATGGAATGGGTCCTGCTCACCGACTCCGTGATGTAGGTCTGAACACCATCAGCATACTGGAGCGCATAGTTATCAGGGCCCGGAAGGTTCCACCTAAACAGACACAGCAGAGTCACACAACATCTTTCGCCACAGTCCTAAAATAAACTACCACCTAGGGCTACCGCATCAAGTCGATGTCGTCGATGACACCGATTATGAAAATCCGTCAACATCAATATTATTTTTATTGTTATTTTAACAAAATTACTGTTATGATTTCTAAAATTCATTATAACAGTAGTTTTCCTTTAATATCAGTATGTAATTATCTGAGTAGTTCAAATTGTCACTAAATAAAAAGGTGGTTTGTACACTGTGCAGTTTCGATAGCATACCACAGCGGTACTAGCGCTCTGCATGAGCTCCTGAAGAGGAAGCTACCATTAGATCTTTTTATCTTTTGTCCTTGAAGTTGCTAAATACACACATCATTAAAGTCATTAACTTGTCTGCCTACTACCTTAGAATTTCAACTGAATAAGTGTTTCTGAAAATGTTTCGGATAAAATTTGGGCGTGTTCTACACTGACTGACAGTGCCAGTGTGTGCTTGTGTGCTAACCAAAATTAATAAGCGTAAAGATATGCCAAATTTACACAGATTACTAGCTTTTGGGCATCACAATACACATCTTCTTTATATTTCAGACAAATCTGCTAATCAGAGAAAATAATGTCCGTAAAGTGCCAAAAAGCCCGCATCTATTATCTAAAGTGCAGCAATGACATAGTTTTTGTTGTCAAAATAAATTGAACTTTGCTTAAATGGAAAATTTGATGTTTTGAAGGTAAATTAACCATTTAGATCAATGGACCAATCGGTAAAATAGTCTATAGATTAATCCCTAGAAAAATAGTCATTTGGGGCGGCCCTGCGTCCGTCCCAACACTGGCTTTCCTGGTGAACTTCACTAACAAACTAATTCACATCACTGTGAAATTTGATTTTTCAAAGTTTTGATGTGCAGTCAGGGCAATTAACCTCTGACCTTGCCTACAGCATAGGGGGGATGTTTCTCTGATCGATGGCAATTTCCCAGTGGCTGGCCAGACATCTGTATTCCTAAGGAGCTACACACCAGCTACACACATGTACAACGGCTGCAGGTTGTACCACATGACACAGAGACGCATTAGGATCACGTTACATATGCAACAGGAGGACGGAGACGCCACGCTTACCCGTCGCAAACCTCCTTGATGACAGCTGAGAGTGGCTTTTTCTGAAAAGACAAGAAGAGTCTTTGTTGAAGGAACATGAGAGGTGTCTCACAAAGGAAGCTCTTACATGCCTCAAAGGGCAACGCTCTTCTCACTGGATCACGATTACAAGAAACAAGCAGCGGGCGTGTGGCGAACCAGGATAATAACTGACAAACGGCCCACACAGCGCAACATGAAACAGAACAGACGGAAAACATCCATTTTATCCCAACGGCGGCAGGCCGCTTACGACTGTGTTTGACTGCCCTGTAATTTGTGGTCTGAAATGTGGTAGACCAATCAGAGGTTCTGTGGAGAGCTTACAGCCAATCAGAAGCTCGCCGGGATGACCTGCGGTAAAATCCACTTAAGGAACATTTCCCTCGGGCAGGAACTGAGGCCACAAAACGATTTCAGGGTCAGCAAACATATCATTGACGCTTCACAAGCACTGCCTCAATCCGCTCCGGCACCTGCTCCAAGAATTTTATCGATAATTGTTGAGGTTGGAGGCAAGTGTAGCCAAACGTTTACCAGAGCAGTATTTTAGCGTGCTTGTGAACGGATCCCTCACCACTGATACTTACATCCCAGCCTCACCCAATCCCAAAGGTGATGGTGTCCCACACTGAGCCGGGACCCCTACCTGATCTAATTCGATGAGCTGGGGATACGCCCCCGGCATCTGAATGGCAATCTTGACTACATCCTTTTGAGGAGCCATGATGGGGTCTGCGCTAAAAGCCTGGTTCAGAAACAGAAAGATAGCCAGGAAATACAGAGCCCCCTGATAAAGAGAGCGAGCGAGTGAACAAATGAGCAAGAGAGAAAGTGAGAGAGGGGGAGGAACCAAAAGAGACTTATTAATGTCACTGTCCGCACCCTATACTGTGGTCAGCTATCTTCATCAGCAAAGAAGGAAGTAGGAACCACCTTACAGGAAAAATAGCATCCATTTGTTACTGCACTACTTCAATATCTGAAGCAGACATGCACGCACATGCACACACACACACACACACACACACACACACACACACACACACAGCTTGTTCTCTCAAACTGCCCACTTTTACTATGACAGATCTGTACTTCCTTACTGAATCAACAGGCTCACTCACTGCTACTTCCCTTTTACTGGTCTGGGAAAGGCACGATCCAGTGAGTGCTGGCTTGGCGGTAAATCCACAGCCTGTGTGTGTGTGCGTGTGTGTTTGCGTGTGTGTGTATGTGTGTGGACTCTCAGGGTCAGTGCTCGTGCACCTCAGTGCCTAGCACTTGCAGACCCGTGCACATTTTTTCCTCGCAACAAACAGGAGCCAAAGTACATTTGCCAAACCGCCTCAAGTGTTTCCATATGTGCGGATGAGCACCTCAGGGGGAAAGCAGACAGAGTAAGGGCCAGGATGAGAGACTGGCAAAAAAGGAAGAGAGAAAGGACATATCTCTGTATCGACAGAGTCGGTGACAGGCAGGCAGCTGGGTCACTCTGGGGCTGTCAAACGAAGAACACGTCCAACACCACGAGCAGAGAAAACTCAGAAAAGCTGTGTCACTTTCGATGGATGTGCCTGCTAGAATGACAGGCGGACAGAGACAAAAAGATCCAGGCAGACAGACAGATGGACAGATAGGCAGGGAGGGAGGCAGAAAAACAGACAGACAAATCCAGACAGACAGGCAGATGGATCAGACAGCCAGACAAATAGATCCTGACAGCCAGAGAGAGAGACAGACATGTAGACAGATGACAGACAGACAGACAGAGACAAAAACAGTGGAAACTGCTTACACTGATCATGTCTGTCTGGGTGAAATTGATCACTATAAGCAGATCATCATCATAACCATTTTTTTCTTCTTTATGTCTCAGGTAGAATACCGTCTAATTGAGTATTATATATTTATTTCCTTATATGTTGCTATTTACTTAATTTTATTGAGTATTTCAAAATACAATACAGCCGTTTCAAACGCTTTCCAAATTATAGTACTGTACATAATTCACTTCAATTTCATCTATACAGCACATTTTCACATTGTCTCAATAGCTTATTGTACGTTCGCTGCTGCATTTTGGTGGCTCGTTCTTGGCAGTTTACCATAAGCTTTGATGAATCTGTATTTGTCACTGAGAGAAAATTACTTTCTTTTCCCAGCAATTTTTTCAGTGCACGCCGCAATAGTGTTCCTTTAAGGGCTCCCTGTGCTCATCGCCCTTATTTCTAAATGTCATCTTCTAGAGAACAGAGACTAATGATCAGGAATTAGGGGTCTCCGTGTCATTTAGGTGGAAGGCGGCAGAACAGGAAGAAGGTGCACTACTCAACAGCTACAAAAAATAAACAAACAAGAACAGGAAAGATCAGCAACCTGCAACATCACCAAGCTCACAGTCCAACAGCTTGACTTTCAGCAGAATGTGTGAAAACACATGTGCACACGTGTTGACAGCGGCAAAGCTTATGTTTCGTGCAACGGTTCACAATAGCAAAACTCTAAATATTCTGTCACATGAGGATCTGGAACTGAAACTGAAATTTCATTCTAACCTCAGAAGGACTTGATTGAAGTTCATTACTCAGGGAAAGAAAATAAAACTGCACTCAGATGAGTTTAATAGGGAGGGAGTGAGTCTGGAACCTGACTCGGGATCTATAGATTCTCAGGTGACTCTCACAACATACTGGGGAACAAATTCCTGTAAATTTATGCTAATGTTCTGCATACTCAGCTGCTGATCAGGCTTCACAAAAACACAAAAAAAAAACAATCCAATAGATCTCCTTACTGTCACAACAAGCATAGTTCCAGGCCTCAAGATCAGAGCAGTCCACTCTACATACACGCCTCAGAGAACAGAACCTCATCAAAACACTAAGCTAATCCACTCACATGAGGTGCTTTCACTCGCGGACCCAGTCAGAATCAGTTTACTATGTCAAGACCAACACATATAAATCTAGGCAGGGTGTGTAAACAGGGTGTAAGTTAACACTAGCCCTCAAACCCCTGCCAAAGAACTGTAATATTTATGTTCGTGTACCATAATTTAGCTCAGCCACTCTTGCCTAAAGTAAGTGTCGGGTTGTTCGATCAGATTCAGCACAACTGAACCAGAGACCTGCAATGATTCTGAGAAGCCTCGATCATACATCAGGCAGCACGCTAGACAGACACCAACAAGCCCATACCAGATCTGGCGAGTGAGGACTGGCTTCGCCTTCAGCTACCAAGAGTATGTGTAGGAGTTTAAACAAGGGGTGAGGTGGGCTTTTATAAAGTTTACCAGCAACACCGCCTTATAGCCATACCACGCTCTCTTGAGAGGGACCCACACGTTGACCACTTCTCATTCTAGTAGCCTACCCTTACTGAACTGTCCACCACTATTAACCAATGCCTTAAAACAAGGGGACAGTTACTGCAGACCTCCCGGCGTTCTGACCACCCCAAGATGCCACATTCACGGAGGTCTGCCGTCGTCTTCCTTCTGCAAGCTTCGGCTGTTTTTAAAACCACGATAATAGAGTGAAACACATTATTGAAGTCGAAATCACTTAAGAACGAATAATCAGCTTGCAAATCTGTACCTGGCACTGCCCTCATATCGGTGTGGTTGGAGATGAATGCAGATTAAAATTTCGAGGCAAACAAAAAATCCGTTCAATCTTTATAAACTTTCCATAGGCCTATGCGGATATCATGAATATAACAAACGAATAAGAATGTTACTTCCATAAATCATTTTGCGGAATACTAAGGCCAACTAATTCGTTAATAGATCAATTAAATCAATTGCTTTCACTTTTTTCCTTCTGTTTGATGTTGTTTGACACCTGAGTGCACAGAAATAATATCACAAGTTACAGTTAGAAATGCTGAATAAATTAAAAACACACACACACAGCTCACTGAAGCAGTACTACTACTAAAAACATTTTTAAATCTTGCAGCTTTTCAGATGTTGGATGTTACGTAAAGAACTAAGAAAAAAGCCAATGCATGATAAAGTATCAGACTACATGGTGTCGCTCTGCAAAGGTTCACATTTTAGCGATACTTGTAGCGACAGGACAGTATAAAGCCAGGAGCCATTATGCTTAACAATCCTCACACACGTACTCCAGTTAGCTAGCCGCTTAGCCCTTTGGCGGCCGAAAGCAAATCCCATTTTCTAAAAACTTCGCCCTGTTTTTCCTACCTGCCGGAAAATGTGAAGCTATTCCGCTGGACATAAAGCGCCGATCATCTGTCTCCCCCGTCCGAAGTAGCAGCGGGCGGCGACAGCTTGAAGGCGGCGTCGGGCGCTGTGGCGCTTAAGTTCCTTCCCAACTTTCCGAAGTAATTGATTAGTCTGAGTTCCGGGTAGCGCGGCCGCCCGGCCGGCAGCCTGAGTTCCAGCCGCCCCCTGCAGGACGGAGCGCCCGGCCGCGCCTGCTCGGCGCCGCGGCGGCGGAAAGCGCGCACACACCGCGCTGTCGTCCATGGGGCCAGACGCTTAGGTTAGATATGCTAGTGGTCAAAATTGTGGAAACCCTTTAAAATGTACAATTTAAAAATGACTACGCGAATATTGACGGTAATTATTATAAACAAAGAATGTTACAAATACCATATACGATTAAATACTATTAAACAAGTAACTGGCGTAACTAGAATAAAGTTCTGCAATCTCTAAAAATTGGAAGCGTTTCCACAATTTTGGCCACTAGTCTATATCACTATATAAACACTTTTGATGTCATTACTACCTAGTCTGTTTACTTATTTCCAATGCTGTTTTTTTTTACTTAAAATGACGTGAAATGAGAAGGAAACAGAAGCACACCAATCACACATCTGTCACTTGATCTGCTTTATAGGAATCGCTACAGGATGGATAAGTGTTTACGATAAGATGAGATAAGAGACTTAATTGTCATTGCATAAGAAATGCAACGAAATTTGTTTGGCGGCTCACGGCTCAGCAGCAAAGAGGCATACATTAATGTACCGCATTAATACAGAATACAGTTAGTTTTGGTCAGTGTTCTGTAGTGGGAAGGGGTATGACGGAGGCCACTGCTCTCGGGAAAAAGCTGTTTGTCCGTGATTTGATGGTCCTAAATCTTTTGGCCGATGGGAAAGTTTGTTTATTAAACATTAACAGGAAATCAGCACGCCGTAATTACGTCACACCGTTAGTTTAGGTTTAAACAGTAGATTACTCTAAAAATGTAAAATTATTTCAAATAAGTTTTGGACTCAAAATCTGGTAAATGATTTTTTGGTTTGGGTTGGAAATACTAGCTCTATTGCTTTTGTAGTTGTACAATTGAATCTATTGGTATGACGCAACAGTTTGGTCATACCAAAATTCCAACAAAAGTCAAAAAATGTATATGAAAAATAACACAGAAGCGATGACTTAGGAAAACATATAAAAATCTTTATTTCGTTTTCTCTTGTGGTAGAGGGATAACTACAGCTGTCTGTTACATACTTTTCATTCAAAGGTTCTAAAAACATCATAGGTTTAGAAAAATACAGAAAGAATTCCCTGGAATATGAATACTTCAGGGACATAACCAATACCTTCCAATGATTTTGGTAGGTGCAACTGTTACCGGGTGTACTGATGTAAAGTGCTGTTGAGATGACTTGGTTTGATACAGATAACTGAATCAATACAATTCCATACTGTATATAACAACTATCCAAACATTTGTTTTATATGACAAATATAAAAATAAATGTTTACTTGTATAAAACAGAACAGAGCCTCTTTGAATGGTATGAACAAGAAAGAAATACATAACTGCTATCTGAAGAACACATCCACTCAGAACCTTTAAAACATATCTGGGTTAAACAGGAGTATCTGGCCAGTGACCAAGAGACTGAGAATTTACAAAACCATAAAACACAGGAAAGGGCTGCTGTGAAACAAAGTCATCATCAGAAGACAACAGACGTACAGCCGGAGTATTTGCTTATTCTATAACAACTTTAAAAAGCATTCACACAAATTGCTCTCGCACACAGAAGGCAAAAAAAGACTCAATGGAATAACCTGGCACTGCCTAACACTTGGGAAAATAATGTATAGTAAGACCTGGTGGTTAAGGAGAAACCTGAACGGCAAACAATGAGGAAAAAACAGAAGTATGTTATGCTGATTTTTTTTTTTTTTTTAAAAAAAGAGGAACAACCCAAAATTACCTGATGCAAGTGGCAGTTACACTCAACATTCAGTAGAAACTCGCTCCAGAGCTGTGTCCAAAGGCCTCCCTCATAGCGATAGTGTCCTGGCAACCTTATCAGAAGCTCTGAGGGTCAATCAGGAACCTGTATCGCTATGGTGATTCTCAGTTCAATACACCTAGGGTACATCTAAGTAACATGAGGAAACAAGATAAACAGCAAGCAAAAAAAAAATAAAAAAATACAAATGAAATACACTGATTTACAAGATACTTCCTACAAGGAAAGCAAGCACAGTGATATGTCCCGGTGCGTAAACTTGTACGCAGTTGTGAAAGATGTTCCGAGACCAAGTCTCCAGAGATGAAAGTTGTCAGGGATAAATGCTGTGGAGAACTTTCCTTAGACCCAGCTGCAGTTTCTGCAACTGCAGAGGTACTGGCTGGCATGTCAAGCCCCCCCCAAGGCCTTAAGAAGTAGAAGAATGCACTGCAGCCCCTCCTCTCACATTAAAGCGAGACATCGGATGGGAACCTCAAAGCATGAGAACTGAGGGCGCCGGCTGGTCTGTGCATCCAAGACAAACATGACAACCTTCCTGAGCTGATATCCCACAAGACTGTTGTACCATATGTTCCAAGTGCACACATCTCTATATAACCTCCCCCCCCTCAGAAAACAGTGTTACTGTGACAAAAGCCTGATGTGCTAAGAATAACGAGAAAAGGATACAGAAGATAAGAATATGAAGTACAGGCAGGATTCCGATTAGCTTCAACCACGTTTAGCACACTGCAAAATGGAGTCTCCTTTTACACGTGTTACAGAAGCCAGTTACTCTTTGGGGAAAAACAGAACAGCAAGAGGTGGCTGGCACACCAGACTTCCACTAAAAGCCGTATCACACACGCTTACATGGACTACAAGAAGCAGGAACAGAAATCTGAAAATGCATGTTAGTACTATAGGAGTAGTAAAACTGAGTAGCTGTAAAACTGTAGTATGTCAGGTTTACAGTAAAATGGGAATATGACAAAGGCACAAGTGCAAAACATTTACTATATTTCTGCAGTCTCTCCGTCGTATAGACAGGAAGAAATGACAGCATTGTAATAGCTAACTGGCTTACATCATCCATGTGATCTGTCAGCATAACCTGCTTTCAGCCTGTGTGTAAATATGACTGCACTTTGTTTCACTGGAGGAAATGCACTGTACATACAGTTACAGCCAAAGTGTCTAGAGAAGACATTACCTGAGCTGGAGGGCACCTCGTATCAATCAGCCAGTGTCTCTCTCCCTCACTGAGGGCTGCACACTGCCTGTACTTTGCTCCAGGTTGCAGTAAAACCTACACGTCTAATCATCAGAGCACCTTAGGGATGGCCAAAAAACATGTAACGGCAGTAAATGCTATTATATTATTTTATTCCAAAAATCCAGCTGATTAATGACATCAATTATTTGCAGTTCCAGAATTCTCAATTTCGACTCAAAATAAAAAAAAATGGAGCAAAATATGAGCACTGTACAGCTCTAATCATTTATCTATACGATTACATGCAGGACAGTTCACTCCGGTGTGTAGTGGCAGTACTTTGAACCGTGGTCTATGATACAAGGCTAGTCATCATTGTAGCTGAGAGCCCTTTGACATTCACCTTCTACTCAAATAGCCCTGGAGAAAGAGGATTAAGGCCAGTCATTTCCGGGGAAGAAACTCCAATGCTACGCAATTTGGCCTGCAAGTATGGAAAACCCAAAATATGTAAATCTAAAATATGTCCATTGGTACAGTCTCATTACGCTTCTATTCTGCATATATGGCTGCAGAAACAGAAAGCTATATAGTGAAATTGTTGTTTAATATTTGAACAATGGCCACTTTATGCTTTTTGCTCCAGTGCATACGTGCCCTTCTCTACATCATTGACATAGGCTATAGGATGTACCCTCACCCAACCCCATTCAAAATATATATTTATGCATGTATATATAAACTAAATATTTCCTTTCTATTTCTACAGACCATGGTCCATGTAATGTGGCAGTTTAATTTGTAAAACTTTGTGCCTTGAAAAGCTACATGAATAAATGAATATCTGGGGCAGAGCTGTGGTGCATAAGGTATGATGTGACATCATTGGTTTGGGGAAAAAAAAAGAAGAAAATGCTACAGAGACGGGTGACGAGCTGCTGGGGCTGCCAACAGCCACCAGCTACACTGGCTGCGCTCTGGTGACCCCTCCTGGAGAGACTCAGAATTGCAGCTTGGCTGCGGCAGCCGACGCAGCTGTTTTCCCAGGTTCGACTCTTCCATTCCTCGAGAGTCTCCGCTTCCTTTAAACCCCAGCAGGCCCCTGGCTCTGGCCCCTCGCTTCCTTATGCCACTCAATCCAATAAGTCTGCGGGTTAAAAACTCCGTAAAAGTCGCAAATCATGTCCGTCGTCATTCAGCCCAGTTCCTTCCTTAAATATGGTCATGACTGATTACAAAAGGCATCTTGGTCATGCAGGGGCCTCACTCTCGTATTTACAGCTTGGCAGCTGGAAGTAATTCGCTCGTGTCCCTGGAGTGTCTGTGGCCAGAATCTCGGATACCAGGCCTTCCTGTTTGAGTTGATGGGTTTTAAAAAAGGGGAGAATTTAAAAAAAAAAAAAAACACAAAAAATGTCCGTTCATTAGATCAGCTTATAATACAGGAATCCAAAAATAGATTAATTCTTCCTTTGTTCCTCAAAAAAAAAGGTCAAAAATATTATCCTCTTTACTTTTGGTTAAATCCTTATTCACAAGTGCCCTCTGGGCCGAGTTCGTGATCAGAGGTTCAGAATGGGAACATCGAAGAGGTCACAGAGGCCTTCGCTTTCATCGAGGTTGTAGATGTAATCGTGGTCGCCCGGCGGTGGGGAAAGGCGAAGCAACGGTGAGAACACTGCAGAGGTGGGGTGGGGGGAGAGAGTGAGAAAGGAGTCAACCTGTGGACATAAAGGTACCTCATAAAGGTACCAATAAACTATTTTTCTCCAGAGACCCGCAATTATGTTTCTGTTACACTCCCCAGATGCAGAGCCAATGCGGCATGAATATACCCTATAAAACATATACATATACCCTGTAAAACACATACATATATCCTGTAATAAACAGAGCCAATGCAACACGAATATACCCTTTAAAANCCTGTAAAACACATACATATATCCTGTAATAAACAGAGCCAATGCAACACGAATATACCCTTTAAAACATATACCCTGTAAAACACATACATATAACCTGTAAAAAAACACACACATATACCATTGTAAAACATACATATAACCTGTAAAAGAGAGAGCCAATGCAACACTAATATACCCTGTAAAACAGGGTAAAATTGAGACAATTCTCAAAAGGCTCTTAGGTCTGAGGGAAACTTCCATCCATCCATCCATCCATTTTGTGAAACGTCTTATCCTACTCAGGCTCTGGACCCGCCATGACCCTGTCCTGGAGGCTATCGACAGGGAACAACTCAGGACGGGGCACCAAACCATCACCCATCATCATCCAATTAGAAGGCACTCCGCAGCACAAACAATTACACTGCCCCCTACTGGCAGATGGACACACACACAAACACATTTACAAATACAAAGCAGTATTTCAATGATAGACTGAAGAATTTAAATTGTAAACAAATTTCTGAAATAAACACAAATGTAACCACACCGAGGGCGTCACATTTACTTAATTAACACCTACAAAGAAACAACAATGGGCTCATGAGTAAAACAGGGCAGAACCTCATACGCATGTTTCAGAAGGTATAAGTACAAGTGGACAACTGTAATTTTTACTGTTTAATTCACATGATCATACAGTGAAGGAATTAGATTATGAATACACTTGTAGGAGTGAAGGATTTCCACTTAGAGATGATAGACTATTACTCTTATACATTCATAGATAAAATGAACACATATGAATGTACGTGTACGTACATGTGTGTGTATACATATATACATTTATATAATATTGTATGGCATGTGCTTCGCGTTAATATTTTGTCTGGTAATGTTATTCTAAAATATAAAAGATAGTGTGGAGAAAAAAAGGTGAGAACTTGTTCATGTGCATATACAGCGAGAACATAGTCTGGTTCCTCACCTTCTGAAGCCATGAGCTCCTCCAGGAGATCAGCACTCATTATTTCTGTGGAGAGGAAGAGAGAGGACCAAGTGAGCACCGGCTTCAAGAGTCAGACGCCTGGCCGTCTCATTTTAACGATTCGCTTAACGGACACCTACCTTTCGTGGGGTCAAACATCTCCGAGAGCTCTTTCGGGAAATCCAGCACTAGGAGAGCGAAGACAAGTGGAAATACATCTCAGGCACAGCAATGGAGCGTTTTGCTAATCCAAGCATGGACAGAGAGACACCTTCAAGTGGGCAAAACCTTGCCAAAAACAAGGGCTGTCTGTGCCCCCTATTGAGAAGATATAACAGTTGACATTTCAAAAAGAAAAAGATCCAGTTAGAGAGAGACAGCAGAAATGAAAGACTGATAGATCCTGAAGAATCAGACAGAGCACAGACAGGCTCCTCCAGCCCGGAGCACCAACGTACCGTCACTCCTTAATACCTCCCAGCTGGTTCCCTTACACTGAAAAATCAAAACACGTCTGCAGGAGAGTCAGGGGACAAATAGCCACAGTAGCTCATCCAGCAATCGACTGTATGCCACAAGTGCATTTAACAGGTGGCAGTCTCATTCCCAGAGAAAAATGACACGATTCAGGAGGACCAAATGTTTCTAAAATAGACCTGGGAATTCAACCAAGCAGCCAATGGACAATCCCAGCAAT